TATAAATGTATGGAGTGTGGAAAGACATTTACTCATGGCAGTGGACTTAAAAGACACAAAATGATCCACTCAGGAGAAAAACCATATAAATGCATGGAGTGTGGAAAGACCTTTGCTCTGAGAAGTAGACTTACTATCCACAAAAAGATCCACACAGGAGAGAAACCATTTAAATGCATAGAGTGTGGAAAGACCTTTGCTCTGAGCAGTAGACTTACTATTCACAAAAAAATCCACACAGGAGAGAAACCATTTAAATGCATGGAATGTGGAAAGACCTTTGCTCTGAGCAGTAGACTTACTATCCACAAAAAGATCCACACAGGAGAGAAGCCATATAAATGCATGGAGTGTGGAAAGACGTTTACTGATCGTAGTGGACTTACAAGCCACAAAAAGATCCACTCAGGAGAGAAACCATATAAATGCATGGAGTGTGGGAAGAACTTTGCTCGGAGCAGTGACCTTAGAAGCCACAAAATGCTCCACACAGGAGAGAAACCATTTAAATGCATGGAGTGTGGGAAGACCTTTGCCCGGAGCAGTGGCCTTAGAAGCCACAAAACACTCCACACTGGAGAGAAACCATTTAAATGCATGGAGTGTGGAAAGACTTTTGCTGAAAGAGGTAATCTTATTTCCCATAAGATGATCCATACAGGAGAGAAGCCGTATAAATGCATGGAGTGTGGAAAGACGTTTAGTCATGGCAGTGGACTTAGACGACACAAAATGACCCACTCAGGAGAGAAACCTTATAAATGTACGGAGTGTGGAAAGACTTTTGCTCGAAGATTTAGTCTTATTTCCCATAAGATGATCCACACAGGGGAGAAGCCGTATAAATGCATGGAGTGTGGAAAGATGTTTACTCATGGCAGTGGTCTTAGAAGACACAAAAAGATCCACTCAGGAGAGAAGCCATTTAAATGCATGGAATGTGGAAAGACCTTTGCTGAAAGAGGTAATCTTATTTCCCATAAAAGAACCCACACAGGGGAGAAGCCATATAAATGCATGGAGTGTGGAAAGACCTTTGCTCAAAAACGTAATCTTATTTCTCATAAGATGATCCACACGGAAGAAGCCATATAAATGCATGGAATGTTGAAAGAGTTTTGCTCTGAGTGGTCATTTTCTCATAAAAGGATCCATGTTTGGGAGAAACTATAGCAACAGCCAATTCCACCTAGAGTTATATACCACTTCACAATGCTTTACCACACTTTCTGAGCAGTTTACAAAGTCAGCATTATGGTCGCCAACAATCTGGGTCCTCATTTTAGCAACCTCAAAAGGGTGAATCAACCATGAATCGGTCAGGATCGAACTCTCGGCTGTGGACAATTAGCCTGTAGTACTGCATTCTAACTGCCTACCTATCATGTCTCTCTAGATTTGTACATGTATGTATATTGTGTCTTTCTGGTCCAAATGAGAGAAGGTTGAATCCAACAAAATGAAACTATGTGGAGAAAAGTAAATTTTACACCTGGGCAGGAAAAACATTACAGGAAACCTGGCTCAAAAACAGTAACTGTGAGAGGGACCTTGGTAGTCCGAATGGATGATCAGTTAAACATCAGTTACCTATGTGTGTGGCAGCAGCCAAAAAAGCTAATATAATCCTTGATTATATAAACAGATGTATTGAATCAAAATCACATGAAGTATTAGTACTGTTTTATAAAGCCTCAGTAAGGCCACACCTGGAATACTGCATCCAGATTTGATCATCACATTACAAAAGAGATGTTTAGATTTTGGAGAAAGTGCAAACAAGAACAGCTAAGATGATTAACGGCCTGAAGACTATAACACATGAACGTTTTCAGGATTTGGGGGTGGCTAGTCTGCAGAAAAGAAGGATTAAGAGTGACATGATAGCAGTATTCCAGTACTTGAGAGGCTGCCACAAAGAGGAGGGGGGCAATTTATTTTCCAAAGCACCAGAGGGCAGGACAAGAAATAATGCATGTAAAATAATCAAGGAGAGAAGCAACCTCGAATTAATGAGAATCTTCCTTAAAGTGAAGACAATTAACCATTGGAACAGCTTTCCTTCAGACATTGCAGTTGCTTCATCAATGGACGTTTTAAAAAAGAGACTTTGATAAGTCACTTGTCTGAAAGTGATCCTATAGGAATATCAATAGATCCTGAAATAGTATAGGATCTCCTGCTTGAGCCCAAAGTGCGGGTAGGGGTGCCATCCCTCAAAGACTTGTATCGGGCTTAGGACTTCAGGCACCAGGGCTCCGTCAATTCCTAGATGGACAGAAGGAGAAAGCTGTGTCTCTGGGGGAGGGGGGGTGTCTTTAAAAAGAAAAGAAAAATCTTCTTACAATTCATAGTGGATCCAGAAGTGAATTAAAATCTCTCTCCAGCAACTCCCATCTCATCAAATTGGAACCCCAAAATGTTATCAGTAGATTTTTGTCTAAAATTAGGTGAATTTTGGGTTGGGCCATAAAAATGATTCATGCCATCTGGTAGTTTGTTTACCTACTAAAAAAATCTATACGAGTTAAAGATGTTTTTAATAAAATGCCAAATTGAAACTTCAATTTTCACTGATTTAAAAATGCTCTATCAGTTTTGTTGCTGAAATATTTTTTCTCTTCCAGAATTTGCATTTCTTGTTCAAACAAATAGTCACGATTTTCACTTTGTAAAGCCACTGCCTTTTTTTTTAGCTATTCCACAAAGATCTTTAATGTTCCCAGATGCAAATGGGCTTATTATGAAAAAACAACCCACACCTGAAATGTTCTTTGTCAGGGTGGCAACCAGATTAAATCCCTACTTTAAGTTAGAAATAAAAAATTGAATGTTCTTCAGCATTATAGAATTAACAGTTATTAAAAACAATCCCTCAAGAAAGAGAAACATTGTTAGCAAAGTATTCTGAGCTGGAGCGGACCTTTTAAAGACCCTCCTAGAGTTGTGCCAGTTGGAGCATTTGCTGAAGCGAGGATTAAGAGGGATCCTCCAAAGCTCTGCTGTGATCTTGGGATCTGCCTGATCTCCTCAGTCCTAATTGCCACCCCTTACCCTATCCCAAGAGCCCCCCTCTGAATTCTTGACCCCCTCATCCTGGGCTTGATAGTGAGAGAGGGGAAGTTTTGGAAACTAATTTGAAGCTGAAATCTCAGGGGAATCCACCAAATTGGAAGAAAAAAGGGGAACTCAGACACAAAACAGGAGATGTAGAAACCAGCCAGTCAAAAAGGGAATCGGATGCTCAAAGCATGAGAAAGAAACAAGGTAAAGGTGGAACCCAAAGGCTGGTGTGACAATATTGGAATCATTGAAACTTTGTGGAAGGAAACACTTAACTGGAAGGTGCAACTGAAGAGATTTAATGTGGAGGAATTGCATAGCAACTGTCCAAAGGAAGTGGGAGACACTGACAGAAACTTGTAGTTTTATATAAATAAATGTATTTAGCATCTACATTCACAGCAGGGAAGACGGAGGTAAATCAAAAATAGCGCAGAAGAAAAAGGTGGGGAAAAGGGAAACGCCCCCTTTCCACTTGCAGCAACCAATCAGAGCACAGATCCCCTCTGGTGGGAGCCCCGCCCTCACTCAGCCACAACTGGGTGTTTGGGACCTTTGTCCCCTTCTCCGGCTATTAAATTGGATATTTTCACATTTATTCAAAAGAAAAAGACCCAAAATGAGGCCATCCTTGTCAAATAACGAGATAAAAGCTAATTTGATTCCTGGCTTCGAGCTTAACCTGGCTGCTACCTATCTACCTCTTTGGCCTGCTTCAAGCTGATACCTCATTTTATCAACTTCAAAGTTCCCTCATGTGTTGCATATGTACAGTAATGCCATATCTGATCTCTATAAGGTTACCTGCTTTCTGTTTTTACCTCAGGTTACCTCAGCATAGAATAGGGAGACATTACCTCAGACGGTGATTTGAGAAGAGGAGGCAGAATAATACTGAATTCTTTCCTGAGGTAAAATTGGCCCGAAAATTGACCTAGGCGCCCAGAAGCGCAAAAGAAGAAACGGGCGGGAAAGGGACGGATGGCCCGTGAGGAGAATCGCCCAAACAGCATCGGGATGGGGGACGAACGGGGGGGGGGGGGGGGAGGCCTTTTATTTCAGATTTTAGTCGGTTTCTCAGGCTGAACAGATGAAATCAGGCCGTGTGGGTCGCCATTTCGACTTTTTTGACCGCCGAGTGCTGGTGTAGAAGGTTCCTGCGTAGCCTTCATTATGGAAAAGGCGGCGCCGGGAAGCAGCACCGCGAGAGGCCTTTTATTCGCGTGTCGGCGTGTTCAGAATACTCGGGAGGCGGGGCGAGAAGCCCTCGGAAGGCTGACGGGAGAATTCTGGGAGTTGAAGTCTCGGAAAGCGGCTGTTGGGGGGGCGGGGCGGAAGGCAAAAGGCAGCGCGCGGGGCAACCGCTTCCGTCGCCAAACAGGGTCGCCGTGCGCGCTCCTGTGGCCGGAGCGGTGTCGGGGGGGGGGGGGGGGGGGG